TAGCCGCACGACAGATTGCTTTGTTTCATTCTAGCCTTGGTAACCCGTTGAGCTGTAGTCCCAACTTTTAACTTTGTTGATGGTTTGGGGTTGTTAAAACAGACGTCCTGCGTGCAGAATGAATTTGTTCAAGAGTTTATTGACAGTTTTGCTCATTTATTTTTTTCTTGGTGCTGTTTCCAGCTGGTAAGCTAGTTTATTAAAGCAGTTGGCGATGTCAGCGAACTCCAAGAGGAGAAGAGCCACCTCTCCCTGCAGTAGTGTCAGCGGAGGAGCAGATCCGGAGGATTCCTCGACTCCTGTAAGCAATCGGAAAAGGAGGAAGATTTCCAACGTTGCTCCTGTTGATACGGTGAGTGTGCTGTATTTACACGACTAAAACTGACGGGACTTTATCGCCAACATCTAACGGCTGAACTTGTTTTCCTGTGCTTCTTTTGTCCTTCAGATTGCTGTCTGTCATGAGCTGTTTAATGCTGTTAAAGACTACAAGGATGGCCAAGGGCGGCAACTTTGCGATGCTTTTCTTAGAGTACCAAAGAGAAGGTATTATGTTCGAAGTTATATTAGATGATCAGAGCATATTACTATATATTTGAACGTATATTTCTTGTTTATGTCTTAGCAGCACATTAAATGTACATCGATTATTTTCCTAATAACCTTGTAGTTAAATGGCTTAGATAAGGGTATGGGAAATTATACAGAAAAAGTCATTGTAAGGAAGGAAAAATCAACTTTAAAACAAAAAACAAACAATCTTCAGATGGATTTTTTTATAATAGTCTCTATCGGTTAGCAAAATTGTTACAAACTTTTTATTTAGTGAAAAAAGTTGCATTCATTATGGCAAAATTTATTTTTCTTTGGAAAAAAAACTGCCTGCCAAAAGCTCTTACTATATATTTGATATATGTTACTTAATCTGTTCATGTTTATAGTTATTAGATTTGTTACAAATTATGAAATATGGCAGTACTGCTAACACCAGGATTTTTACATATTTGTCTCACACTGATGTTTGTTCAAGTTATCTTAGAGTATTTCTCAAAGTAAACATTTTTGTTAGTTGTGAAAATGCTCGAGAATTTTTTGTTTGAATTTTAATGAACATTTGCCGTATGGCTAAAAAAACCTACGTTTATGTCTTAGGTTTGTTTAGTTTTGACGTGTAGGTAGTTAAAAATCTGAAAGCATTTTCATGATTTTTGTCTTCTTTTTTTTTTTTTTTTCAGGAATCAGCCTGATTATTATGAAGTTGTGTCCCAACCGATTGATATGACAAAAATCCAATACAAACTGAAGTCAGAGGAGTACAACGATGTTGAGCAACTAACTGCTGATTTTCAGCTCATGTTTAAGAATGCCAGAAATTTCTACAAGGTATATTTGATTTAGGACCCTTGTCAGCAGTAAATTGAAACTGCTATTATGTACTTTTAAATAGTCTCCAAATGGATTTTGATTAAAAAAATAATAATTTTATCCAAACTATTACTGTTGCATTACATCTGAAATTGGTAGCATACATTTTTTCTTATAATATGTTCTATAACCTCAAGAGCAGCAACACAAAACAAAGTTTTGGTTAAAAAAATAAAGAAAACACTTTTGGGAAAATACAGTTCTGTGCAGTTTCAGATTTAGTTATATGGGTTAAGTTACGCATATAGTTATGAGGGAATAAATTGTCCCCCTACTGAAATATGCTGTCCGAAGCAGAAAGGATAGAAATTATAAAAGCCTTCACTAGATAGATAGACTGTCATGTAAGCTGGTATTTATCAGATCTAAGGAAGCATTCTGCTCTGAGTTTCTTTGTAAAATTTGATGAATCTTCTGTCTGCCAGAGGGTGTATTGTTAAAGAGATACTGTCCAGGATGAAAGAGGTTAGAGGATATTTTCCTGACCAGGGCTGAGCAATTTGGAGCTAGTTTACTCTTGATGATGTTCTCAGTAGTTTTACTCACCCTCAGCAGTGCCTTTCTGTCAGTGGCTGTGGAGCCACTGTGCCACACTCAAAATATTAACACGTGTGGGAGAATACCAGTAAACACAGACTGTGCAAAATAATTTTGGCAGTTCATTTCTAGCTAATCTCCTATTTTTTTAGTGTGAGTACTGTGGCTGCACCTCTGATGTCTCCCCCCCCCCTTAATGTTTGTTTTAATCAGACTGACAGCGAGGAGTATCAAGCAGCGTGCAAGCTCTGGGAAGTGTATTTGCAAACAAGGAATGATTTTGTGCAGCCTGGAGATGGAGACGAGGAAGATGAAGAAGGTGACGACATGATGGCTAATTCAGGAATGTCAGCTGAATATGAGGTAGGTGTTCATATTTTGTTCATTTATTTGATTGTCACTCAGTGGCTTGAGTGAAACACAAAAACTGATACAGATGTGCTAATATTTATATTTCTAAATCTTTACCCTGCATTTGAAGACATCAGGTTGCAACTTGAAAGAAGTACTGGAGCAGCTCTTGGAGGCTATAGTATCACACACTGATCCCTCAGGCCACCTTGTCAGTGAACTATTCCAAAAACTTCCCTCCAAAGTGGTGAGTCTCTAGACTTGAAATAATAGCACCTATTTTTTTATAGGCACCTTTATGTCAATAACAGCATGGCACACGTTAGCTATCACATAAACGTTTTCTATCCCGCTAAATGCCTTTCTGTAAAAACCTTTATCAAAGCTGATTTATTTTTTTACATTTGTTTCTACAAATGCAGAGTAATTTGATTTTAGTATTCTTACTAATTTCACACCTTGTCTTCTGTGCAGCAATACCCAGACTACTATGCTATTATAAAAGAGCCAATCGATCTCAGAACGATTGCTCAGAGAATACAGGTTAGCAGTTGACTTCTTTACTTTTATATTGTGTCACACTCTATAAGCAAATACGATACCTCAGTTTGACAGCATCTTAATTTACTCAGGATTGTTTTGTTTCATGCCAACAGATTGGTTTCTATAAAACAGTTACTGCTATGGCCAAGGACATTGACCTGATGACCAAAAACGCCAAAACGTACAATGAACCAGGATCTCAGGTTTTCAAGGTAGAATGTTTTTCCCTTTTTCCTTTTTTTTTAGAAATATATTTTTCTTGCTCCTCAAATAATCAAACTTTATTTTGTTTTGCAGGATGCAAACACCATAAAAAAAGTTTTCATCCAACGAAAGACAGAACTCGAACACGCCGAGCCTACTAAATCTAGCATTCGCATTAGGTACTTAAGATGTTGCACAAATGTACTGCTTTCTTTAAATCACCAATTTATACCTGGACAAAGTTTATTTTGAATATATTGTTTGTTTTCTGTAGAAACCGAAAATCAGGACAAGTGGATCGTTTTTCTGGTGTTAGCGTTGCTCTTCAGTACGGTTCAGAGAGTGAGGATGACCCTGTGCTGTCAGGTAAATTTAAGTAAAGATGTTTGTTTGAGGGAAATTATGTTAAACAAAAATTACAGCTCAAACTGTAAATGCTTATAGGCTCCGTGTGCTATGATGAGGGAGAATCTGAGGCAGAAAGCCAGAGTTCAAGCATGGAGATGAGCAACCCAATCTTTCAGCTCTATGAAGCTGTGAGAGGGGCCAGAAACAACCAGGGACAGGTCTTCTCCGAACCTTTCCAACAGCTGCCATCCCGCCGGGAATATCCTGATTACTACCAGCAGATAAAACAGCCCATCTCGCTGCAACAAATAAGGTTGTTCATGTTTCAAGGCTGCTTTTTTTCTTCCTGCAATCATTCTACTAGAGGTTTCTGTGTATTAAAATGTTCTGCATTCAATTTTTTAGGGCAAAGATGAAGAATGGAGAGTACGAAAGCGTAGAGCAGATCGATGCTGACCTCAATTTGATGTTTGAGAATGCAAAGCGCTACAACATGCCTAACTCAAGCATATATAAACGAGCCTTCAGACTACAGCAGATTATGCAGGTGACACTGACATTTTTGGTCTTACTAAAAATAGATAAACATTCTTTTTGGTAGCTTTATCTTTTTTTTCCCTTTCGTCCATTAAGGCAAAGAAGAGGGAGCTTCTGAGAAAAGATGAGGAAGATGGCGACAGCATTTTGTCATCTGATGCAGGGAGCGTCAAAAGAAAAAGGTTTGGGATAATACTTTTAATCATTCTAAGTTCTGTTTATGTGCATGCAGATTTCGTTTTCTAATCTTTATTTTTTTCCAGCCACAAAAAAAACGTAAAAAAGAACCGAATGAAAGTGTTGTATGCAGCCGTGAGCGACGCCAGGGAAGCAGCTACCAACAGACGTCTGTGTGAACTTTTCATGGTCAAACCGTCCAAGAAGGACTACCCTGACTATTATAACGTAATCCTCGAACCAATGGACCTGAAAACCATCGAGCACAAGATTAAAAATGAACGCTACAGCACTGAGGAGGAACTGATAGAGGACATGAAGTTGATGTTTCGTAATGCTCGACATTACAACGAGGAGGGATCTCAGGTCGGCAGCATGGCTATTGTTGTTACATCTTAAACATTTATTTAGCTGCAATTGTATTTTTTGATATTTTGTTGCTTCTTTTGACACGGTTGTCATGGGTTTTCTGCAGGTATATAATGATGCAGACGTCCTGGAGAAGATACTAAAAGATAAACGAAAGGAGCTGGGACCACCACCTGAGGAGGAGGATGTGGGATCACCTAAATTAAAATTAAGTAAGTGCTGTGAGTGTTGATCCTGTTTTTGCTGATCAACTAGAGAAAAGCTATTAAATCAGATTTCCTAAATTGTATTTTGTTACTAATTACTGGTCTTTTTTTTTTATTAAAATGAAAATATTTTTTGGTCTTTCATCAAATTGGAGCTGCCACATATATTGTATATTCTTTCCACATTTATATCATTCAGGAGTAGAGAACCTTGGTTATTCTTCAATTTAAAGTTGTATTAAACTTGTAATTTCATTTACTGCAACTGCGAACAAAGGCTGTCTGAACCATTTAAGGTTATGTATTATGCATACATCAGATGCATCAAAATGTGCAAACATGTAGCTTCTCTGTACTTGTTACATTAACCAGTTGTAGAACATTGGGGGGGAAAAGCATAGAATTGATCAAATTGAATTATTTCAATGTCTTTCTTTAAGTACTTCTGAATCACTTCCACCTTCATTACATGCTTTTATTTTACAATCCTCACCTGCTTCTCTCAATACTTCTGGGCTTCACTAAGGAGCGCTTTAAAGCATTTGTAACATAATTTAGGACTAAACCTAAGCTAAACTGAACTAAACATTTATTTTAGTAACCCTAGTAAAAAAAAAAAAGAAGTAAGATGCCCTATAATCTGTTTTGATTTAGTGGCATCTTACTGTAGATTTTATTATCAAATCTTTTATTCCAAAAACATTTAAGTGGGGAAAGTTTCTATGCAACAGAAATTACGTATGAACAATTAACTGCATTTGCAATAATTTAGCCAAAAACGATTTTCATATCTCAGAGGAACGCAGTTTTTGCCTCATTATATTTCACAAGAGTAAGACACTAAAGTTCTCTCTCCAGTCTTAGAGGACAGTAATGTGCTTAAAATGCACATTAACATTTGCTGCCACACAAAGGGGAGGAGTTGCAGCTAACATGCAGATCTACTAACAAGTAGAACTAAACCTTATCACATAATGTTTTTTTTGTGTGTTTGAAAAAATTAACTTTTTTTTTGTCAAAAATTGTTGAGCCCTAACGAAAATTATTATTTATAGCACATGTTGGATGACCAAGTAATCCCTTTTGTACCACAACATATTTTACATTGGCAGTAAATTTTTGAGGTTCAATCAGAGTTTATGGTAATCCAGTTGAACTAGGAGCAGGTGACACTGGGGCCGTATCAGTCTAGTATCCAGTAAATATTGAGCTGTATCGCCAGTGGTGATCATTTTGACATAAAATGTAATTGTATTGATTCGTTTTGTGTGTTATTTCATTAGCTGATTGTGATTATAATAAAGCAAAGGAAAATATCAAAGCTTTTTTTAACGAGCAAAGACAATATGAAGAAGTGAAAAGAGCAGAAGATCTATAGATGCTATGCATAAAAAATGGTCATAAGTCTCTGTCTTGTTCTACACTTGTAAAAGGGCAGAGCAGTAATATTATGACTTAGACTTAGATTTTATTTTGTCATTTTGTACACAAAAGTGTAAATAAAAAGAAATTCCATTAGTACTGCTCTATAGACTTTCATTTTTTAAAGTGCAGGTAAGCAGCAGTGATGTTATGCTGTTAAATTAAGTTATATTAAATTAAGTTATGCCATCTAAAATGTTTTTCTAGTTTTTATGGTGAGGCAGTGCTGTTGAAATAAGGAGGTTATTTTAGGCTTTCTTTTAATCCTATTACTCGGATGCCATCTCACTTGTCTGTATATCCTGTTAGGGGTGTGGTCCTGCAGAGGGCTTTCATATTAGATTCATGTATTCCTGTTCACGGTTTTAACGCTGTTACATTTTTTTGTCTTAGGAAAAAGTGGTGTTTCTCCAAAGAAGTCCAAATACCTCACTCCTCTGCAGCAGAAGTTAAATGAGCTCTACGACGCTGTCAGAAACTTCACAGACCGCAGAGGTCGTCGTTTAAGTACCATTTTTCTCCGGCTGCCGTCTCGCTCCGAGTTGCCCGACTACTACGCAACAATAAAAAAACCCATCGATATGGAGCGCATCCGAAGCCACATGGTGACAGGACGCTACCAGGATGTTGAAGCTCTGTTTGAGGACTTTGCTCTCATGTTCAACAACGCCTGTATCTATAATGAGCCAGAGTCGTTGATCTATAGAGATGCTCTGGTGTTGCACAGAGTGTTGCTGGAGACGCGAAAGCAGCAGGAGCGAGGGGATGACTCTGGTCCTCCTGCTGTGGGACCTCTGGTGCGAGAGCTGATCAGGAATCTGTTTGTGTCAGTAATGAGCCACCAGGATGAAGAGGGCCGGTGTTACAGCGACTCGCTGGCTGAGATTTCAGCTGTAGATCCAAGCGACCCTGAAAAGCCAGCACTTAACTTTGACATCATTAGGATAAATGTGGAGCGAGGTCTTTACCGGAGACTAGACGTCTTCCAGGAGCACATGTTTGAGGTGTTGGAGAAAGCAAGAAGGCTAAACAGGTATGTAAACTTTAAAAAAGGAACTTAAAACGGAGGTCCCTTTGAAATTCCTTCTATACATTTTATCTTCTTTTATAGTTCAGTATGTCTAAGTATGTTTACTTGGGAAGAATAAAATGTAAAACAAATTAGTGTAAGAGGTTAAAAAAATAGTGTATTCATGACAAATGTAATCACAGCAAATTTTCCATCCATTCAAGCTCAGTTAACTTTTTGTAAAACATTCCCGGTTTCAATGGGCTACTTGCTTCACTGACTCACGAGGACCGTCTTCCTGCTCACCAGTTAGTTGTGAGTTCAAAGCAACCTGCAGAGATGGAGCTGTTTCATAAAGCTGGCTTAGTTCTTAAGTGAGGCTTAGTTGACTGAATCCGGCCTTTTTTGTTGTCATTTGCATTTTGCTGGCTCGGTTACTATGGTGACTGACCCAATCAACTAAACCTGGGCCGTTTCTCAATTCATGAGAATGCAAGTACCGACTCGTGTCCTCGCCAAGTATGTTCTTTAGAAGAACAGAGTTAAATGTGGACTTGGTGAGAACGTAGCATAGATATGGGTCAATTGGAACAGAAGCGTACTCGTGACGTCACCACACGCTCAGCACGTCTGAAGCTGCATTTCTCCTCCTTTTATTTATAGTCTCTAGAAAATAATAAATTCTGACTTTTTTCCATTTGGTGGGGGAATAATAATTAACACAGTCAGATAAACACAAATCAAATTAACATTTTACAGAATAAAACTAAAATATCGCCATCATAGCCAGCGGTCATTCACACACGGCTTTGCTGAGAGAGCACTGCTGCAGACGGGCTGGGGTTAGCCCTGGCTGCCATTACCCTCGGAGCTCCGCTGGTTGCCGCGGTCCCCTCAACTTCGGAAACACTTTTTTAAATTATGCATTAAATAGGTATATGGGCCATATAGTTCTCAAATGTTCTCAAATGATCTTAAAACGTACTTTTATTGAACAGCAGCAACAGAAAAGAGAACATTTAACTTAATACTCTGAGCTCTGTGAACGCTCCCCTGGAAGCTGCTGCTGCCGCAGTGCATGCTGGGACAGCTGTCAATCTGAATAACGGCCAAGTGTGCTCTGATGCATACCAGCTAAATAGGGAGGGGCGAGAACAACATCCGGGGACTTTGTCTGTTCTCGGTCTGCTGTTCTTGTGAATTTGAACAGTACTTAGACAGATTTGTGATTTTCTTTACACAACTGTAAAACAAAAAGAAATTTCATTTGGAACAGTTCACTGTACAATTTCATCTTTTTAAAAGTGCAGCCTTGAAAAAAAAATAAAAATAAATATATATATACCGTAAATTCTCTAATATAGGCCCGGGCCTTTATTTCACTCAAGTGCATCGCGGTCCAGGCCTTTATTGGATAGAGGC